CAAACTTTGCATTTATTGCATAATCTACCATTATTATTAAGAATATAAAGCAAAGCATAACTAATTTGATTAAAAGCTATACCTGCTTCATTTACTTCCTCGCCTTCTCATTTTTTTCCTTTGAATTTATTTTCATAAATACTGTGTAAAGCCTTTGCTATTTCACAACAACTAATTAATTTTGTCTCATTCATATTTATATCTTTATATCTATATTTCTTTCTCTAAATTTTTTTGTCTAATTTCCAAACCTCTAAAAAAAACTTTAATATACGGAGTATATTAAAACCCCCTAGCCTCGCACAAAATCGCACGGATGCCGTTTTTGCTTTTTCCCTTAACTGGTTGGCTCTTTTTTTGGGATGGCTGCCCCTCGTTTCCCAGAAAACAAACCGCCATTTTCGTCTAATTATCATATCATTTTAATCAATTATCCCAACTTTTTCACCAATTAATTATCTTTGGCGGCGTTTTTTCTTTCATAAGGCATATATTCCCACAACAATTAAAGAGGAGATCAAACCAACCATTAATATTCCTTTCACCAGACCACCATTTCCTTTTTGGTGGTTATTAGGATTGCCACTTTCTCGGCTTTTGTTTCCACTTTTATCATCAGTAAAGTAGAAACCATCATAATTCTGTTTATCAAAGGCCGCATTAGCCTTGGACCGATCAGAAAGAGAAGCCGACTGGCAATTCTGCACATGTTTAGCATGGCAGATAGCAATTTCCGTATCAACATCACCCTGATAATTAATCTCTTTATGATATTCTCACAAAGAAATGTCAGATTGACAATGTTGACAAACTAAAAAAGGTTGCTTGCTTTTCTTACCCTCCGCAACCAATTTTAAATTTTCAGCCTTGCTTTCCGCAACTAACTCTGGAATTTTATTTTTGTTGAGCCAATCAGTAAATTCTCTATACTCGTCAGCATTGCGTCGACTACGAAGCATCGAACATAAACCACGACAACCACCTAATGCCCCACATTCCGGACATTTATTGCTTTCCTGCCATTCAGGACCGCCCGGCAAATAAGAAGGCCTTTCTCATTCCTCTTTTTTCTTATCTCCACAAGGTTTACAATAGCAAATATTATAAGGAGAACCATAACTATTCAGATTATCTATATAGCATTCTTCACCTTTTGCGATTGTTTTTTTACACTCATTACAACTAATAGAGGAATTGACAGAAACTGGTTGACTAGTAATACATTTTCAACAAACCCCCTCCGGATTTCCCTTCGTGCTAGACCCACATTTTTTACACTTGCCAGCATAACAATCAGCACACATATCACCGCCTGCTTGACCACTAGAAGTAAATAATGTTTTTACCCTCCGAGAGCAATAATTACAATTTAACAAACCATCCCATTCTTCCTTATTACTGACTCGACAATCACTACACAATCTATTCGCATCTAAGTTTTTTTCTTGCCGACAACTAACACATTTTTTTCATTCTTTAACTCAACAATCTACACAAATGTGAGAAATCCTATCTACACAACTACTATTATTACACTTTTTTGAACTACACTCTTTAGCCACTCCGCAACTCTGACACTTATCATTCCCTTTACAATCATAAGGCCTTACTCCAACCGGCAATTTTTCATAGCAGGATTGGCAGTAATTTTCATATTTGACATTGCTTTTACCTGAACGAACTTCTGTATCAGTAATACTTATTCGATGAATATCACCAGCAATAATTTGCTGGCATTTTTTACATTTATTAGTTTCCATATGCTTCACTTTTAATATAATTTTAAAATTTCTTATTTACATGTATAGAACAGAGAGAGAGAGAGCGTTATTATTACTCACTCATCCCCCAACTCACTATCTATATAATATTTTAGTAAATATCTACTGTCTCCTTAATAGGAATTTTTTTTCTTCCATTAATTTTATCTTTATCCATCCCGTTATTTCCTTCACATTTGCGGCAATATTTTTTAAAAATAATGGCCTGGCTTATCTCTTTCTCCTTATTACATTTTCGACAATATTTCCCCAGTAAGATTATTATTAAACTTGTCAAAAACAAATTACAAGTAAGTGAGATAGCCAATGCTATCCCCACCATTTTAAAGATCTCGAAGCGTCTTAACCACCTCAATAGCCTCCCA